GATCTTAATTTTCTGAATATTGAGTTTTAAACCAACTTTTTCACTCACCTCATTCACTTTCATCAAGAGGCTCTTTAGTTCTTCTTCACTTTCTGCCATAAGGGTGGTGTCATCTGCCTATCTGAGGTTATTGATATTTCTCCTGGTAATCTTGATTCCAGCTTGTGCTTCATCCAGCTTGGCATTTCGCATGATGTACTCTGGATATAAGTTAAATAAGCAGGGTGAGAATTTACAGCCTTGACGTACTCCTTTCCTGATTTGGAACCAGTCTGTTGTTCCATGTCCAGTTCTAACTGTTGCTTCTTAACCTACATACAGATTTCTCAGTTACTTCGGCAGTAACTGTAGTCAAATAAAAATGTATTCATATCATTCATCCATGGTGCCACTGGGGTTTATTTCATATTTGCACCTGGAAAATATAACACGGCAGCAGAGAGTGCAGCCACTGGAAATGAACTGTTGGCTGAGTCTAGACCTTGTAACCTTTAGGTGGTTACAAGCCCCAAAAACAGGGTACCCAGAGGTGAATCTTAGCTGTGCTGCTTCCCAAGGGAGCTGATAAAAATTACTGCATCTCTTGGGGCTTCAGTCTCCTCATCTGAAAAATGGGTAAATGCCTCATTCCTGGGACTGTAATAAACACTTATTGAGAAAATCCTTAAAAAGTACTTCTAAGAACTCCAGACCTTTGTACCTACCCAGTGAGTATTAGTTATCTTTGTTATCTCAGTTTTAATCTGACAGAAAGCAATTTAAACATTGGAGACAGTGTCTTAATCATCTTTATCATGGTGCCCAATAAACTGTCAATAAACTTTTTTTTTCAATGTCAGTGTCTTAATATTAGTAAGCCACCATTTTATTGCTGTAGAAGGTAGGGTCACAAACACAAAACAAATCATTTTGCATACATTCTTATAAGAAGCTTACAAGGTGATTACTATTGTCCTGGTTTCACGGAGAGAATCTGGAATGTCCAATAACTGCAAAGGCCAGAATTCCAGCCCATATCTACTTGCCTCTAAAGTGAGTTCTCCGAGTTTCTCATTCTTCTGCCTATGAACTTACAGTTCCGACACACTTGCGATGGGGTCTTCCCTGTAGCTCAGATGGTAAAGAATCTGCCTGTAACCTAGGAGTCCTGGGTTTGATCCCTGGGTCGGGAAGATCCTCTGGAGAAGGGAGTGGCAATTCACTCCAAGTATTCTTGCCTGGAGAACCCCATGGCCAGAGGAGCCTGGCGGGCTACAGTCCATGGGATCGCAGAGGGTCAGAAACGACTGAGCGACTAACACTACTATATACTTGGGAAGGAGGTTCACAGAGTGAACTGCGTATGACTGACTGATGGTTTTCCTTGGTGGATCTCTTCTGATCCAGCCATTCAGAGTGATTCACAAGTCACTTCTTTATCTCTTCAAGTTCTCCCAACTTTCCCATATTTTGTCTCACAAACCTTATCCTGAGAATGCCTGTGACAAAATCCAGAAAGCTAGGGCCAGGCAAATCGGGAGACAGTCAACTGTGACTCTGATTCTGTGACTTTGCTCCCCGCTGTGGTCCCTGTTTTCTTAGCTGTGCAACAGAGATGGCTGCACTTTGTCCCTAAACCTACCCCTCCCCCGTCACACTCTCATTCTTTAGGGGCAAGCGGTGAGGAATTTGGGGTGCCTGAAAGTGGGATCCATACTACAAATTAAGCCACTCTGTTAGCTAATATTTTCATTTTAGGACCACTCCAAATTTCCAGAAGTTAATTTCATTATTCGATCAGAAATTCTGGAAGTAGGTAGGAGAATGTACCCGGCTCCTTGCAGCCACAAAATACACCATGCACTTTATTGCAGCATCACTTTGTCTTAGTGGCAAATAATTTCAGTCATTTAAAAGTTAAATACAAACACATTAAGGAGTCAATACCAAATGCACGGAATTTTTTTTTTTATAGTTTTAGTGTCTAAGAATTTCATATCTAAGGTAGACCAGTCTGCTCCTACTCTTCACATCAGGGATACAGTCTCCTCTGCCCACTGGGATGAAAAAGCTGATGAAACCCTGCCAATATTCTGGGTTATATTATTGGATCCAGCTAGAGTATCAGAACACCAACTGTTGTGCATCCATATCTTATATTGTCTTGACTCTGCGGACACCCCTCTTGGCATCTCAAATTCTTGCAGCAGAGCTTTCTGAAGATTGCATTTTGGAATCATGTCCTGGGGCAGAATTTTATAAAGTATGATCTTACCCCTGACCACCTATATTAGAATCACCTTGGGGGTCTGTTTAGAATTCATGCACATGGGAGCTCTTCTATACTTAAAGCCACACTTCTCAACTTCAGCGTGCATACAAATCGCCTGTGCATATTTAACCTTATTAAAATAATGTTCTTCTGGAGTGAGGCCTGAGATCCTGCACTTCTAATAAGCTCCTAAGCATGTCAGTAATGCTGCCATGAAGAGCACCCTCAGAGGAGCAAAGAAAATAGGGTCCAAATTTTGGGTTAGGGGAAAGCCCCCCAGTGATTCTTATTGCTTGAGAATTTTGGCTCAAGGGCTATTAAAAGTGTATCCCTATAAAAGA